GAATGCAAATGACAAAGAAGGACAAAAATTAGCCACAGCAGATTATGTATTTAATTGATGTTCGTATTTATTAGTTTATGAATTTCAGTCCTAGATATAGAATGTAGCCATTTTTTTAAATATCTTTTGAAACAATTTCCGAAATGAAATTCTTTCAAGTCTTGAGGTATAATTTCATTAAATTTTGGCGCTAAATAGAGATATGACCGCTGCATTATAGATTTATGCGGCTGAGGAATTACTGTGCCACGAATTTTGTACTTTGAGTAATGATTATGTTTAATTTTTTGGTCGGGGTTGACAAATTTATGGTAGTGAGTGATACTGTGTAAGAAATAAAGTTGTCTGATATCATACGTTCGTACATCGGCGTATAATTTGTCAGTGGAATAAAGTTGCGGTTTTTTAAACATCATTTTTAGAATACTTTTTTGAAAAATATCTAAATTATAGATATCTGAGGAACATGCAGCTCCCCATGCTAATATACCGTATGTGAGATGAAGCTCAATTAGTGCATGGTTAAATGTTCGAAAATATTTTTCAGCCAATATATTCGCAAGGTACTTAATTTTGTAGGATACAAATCTAACTTTCTTTAAAATATAATTGACATGGATGCCCCAACGTAAGTGAGGATCCAAGACCACTCCAAGGTATTTTATGTTCGGTACTCTATTAATTTACATTTTTCGATCATTAATGTTGAAGGAGAAATTTGTGTAATTTGGCAGATGTCTAGCATAAGATCCAAATGGTAAAAAATGTGTTTTAGAATAGTTAATGCTTAATTTTCTACTATTAAATCACCAAATAATTTTGATAAAATCATTTTCAATTATATTTTTCAGATCAGACCAGTCAGTGCCTTCATATAATATTGCAGTATCATCTGCAACACTGGTTATTTTGACAACACAATTAAATTGGAAAATATAATTGAAATATATATTTAATAACAGTGGACCTAATGGGACACCACACTTAATAATTTCTTTGCTAAACGATCCTGATATCTGGACAGATCGTCGGCGATTTGACAGATAATTTTCGATCAGTGCGTACGCGTTTCGTCTTAAACCAATTTTCTCCAATGTTTCTAATAATAATTTGTGATTAATTGTGTCGAAAGCTTTCTTTAAATCGACAAAGATGCAGATAGAAGATATTTTGTTATCAATATTTTGATGTATTTGATTTACAATTTTAACTATTGCGTCCGATAAATTGAAAACATCGTAGATAACTTAGAGATTACTGTTTTCTCAAAAGCGTTTGAAAAGGTTAATCATAAAACCATGTTGAACAACATTAGGCTATCTGATATTCCGTTGAGATTTTTCGGAAGCTACTTGGCTGATAGAATGCAAGAAGTTACTAATGTGGTTTCATCTGGCGTTCCGCAGGGGCCAATTCTGGGGCCTCTGCCAAATTTAAATTATACGACTGACTTGAAAAGACTTTAGGTATGCTTTTTTCCCCTAAACACATGTATGATAACATAAAAGACGCCAATATATTGATTACAAATAAATAACTTGAAATTTGACAGACACAGCGGTTACGTGTCTCCAAAAACTTATGCCAAATTGAACATTTTATATTCCAATAAAAACTTTGAGACCAGGAAAAAGAAGAAGATTCGTCGGATCGGTAGGTTATAGAAAATTCAAAACAACTGCTGCATGTTTGAGTTTGGACTTCGTAAACATAGTCAAGTCTCTTTGAAGATTCAAGATTTAAACTGGTTGGAGATGGAATCACAGTTTCTTTATGCTGTGGTGCTATGATAGGTGTTTGTCCATAAAGTAGTTCGCATAAAAAGCCTTCGTATATTTTAGAAAAGCTGGTAACATGACGTGTCCATAACGTCACGAATGGATGACGCCATCGTATCAGATACGGCCACGTGACCTGTATCCGTCGATTTCACGCTTGAGCAAGCAGGGCCAGGTATAAATTGGGCCATATCGACAGGACCTGTCATTATTGTTTTAGTGCGAATTAGCGAAGATGTTCCGTATACTGCCTCTGTTAGCCGCAAGTTACTTGCCTGCCCTACCAGTAGAGATTTGGTGCCTCATACTTCGGTAAGTGTCTATGATTTATATTCTATTTAATTTATATTTGTGTATTGCATTTTACTAGTAATATTAACTACTTCTTTTGTTTCAGGCATTTGGACGACGAAGCTTTACTATCAGCGATAAGGTCAAATCGATCTTGGTTGACATACGCCAAAGGGGATCCGATGTTGAACCAGCGTTTGACTGCTGCACTGTTGCAAGAAAGAGAACGATTCCTGAGGATGAAAACGCAGGATGTAATACAACGTCCTCTGCCGGCATGTGGTACATTCCGTAGTAATAATCAAAAGATCGTCATAAGAAAACCAGAGAATTATTACAAGAACACAGACCTTTACAAGGAGATATTGGAGAAGCCGAAGGTTACAAAATTAACTAGGAAAATTAAATCTGTAAAGAATAATTCTAGGAATAAACCATACCGTTTATAGTGACAATGTTGTAATGTATACTTCAATAAACTCATATGTCTAAAAATTTGTGTTTTTATACTCCAAAATGTAATTGTTTTCACAAGATCAGCGTTACGTGAAGCAAGACTTCGCTCGCTGTTGAATGTATCTGCTGACAACTGCGCAGCATAACCCGTTTCACAGAAGTAATGTCAATTAATCTCGCGAATTTTAAAGCGGTCCATTCTGATGACTTTAAGTAAACTAGATACTACTGAACATAACCATCATTGCCTTTCTGGGATGTCAATTGTATCTTGTTTGTAAAACGCTTGTAGTTGAAATAAGCTATCCAGAAAATAAGTACGATTTTAACTTAACTACATCATGTGTTCTGAATAATTATCATGTTCACTTTTTTCAAGAAATTAATTGTTTACCTCATCAACAACGACGGGTTTGAGGTGGTGACAATGTCGTGGTACCGATGATGAGAATTGTCTATACAAGTATCAATCTACTTTGCTTGTCTAGTAGTAGGTAGTTATACCAAGAGAGGGCACCGAGTGGGATGTCTTTGAAGTTCACTAGTCGGCATCATTGACCTTAGGTTTGAACTCTATTACTGCTTTAGAACAAAAACAGCGATCTATGAGACTGCATGGAATATATCGAGGAAGCGGCCATGTAGAAAGGCAGAAAATGTTTAGAAACTGCAACATTTATGCAGAGCTGAATGGAGTAGTTCTATTCACCGTTTTTGGCGCCAATATCACAATATCATAGGAAATAAATAAATAGATCGTCTTAGCTGTATTACTTGCGGATATTACCTAGAGGAAATTCACAATGCGTAAGCCAATCCTTCACACAAAACATTCACATACACAAATTATGTAACAGAGGACCGTTGTATTCAATTCAATCTTTAAAAATAATACAAGAACTTGACACAGGCTGTTAACATTGTTGTTGAATCTTCAGGCACATCTATAACTATATATCAGAAATCAACAAAAGGTCGCACGGTCATACTAACAGTTACAAGCAGAAATGTGGAAGACTCGTACCTTGACGGAAACATCTTTAAGGCAGTACGTTGGGCTATCTGATATTCCGCTAAGATTTTTCGAAAGCTACCTGTCTGATAGAAAGCAGGTAGTTAAGATGGTTAGGGGCGTCTCTTCTACTACTGTGGTTTTATCTGGCGTTCCGCAGGGGTCAGTCCTGGGGCCTCTGCCATATTCAATTTATACGACCGATTTGCCCTCATGTGTGGAATTTCGTTCTACACAAACGTATGCTGATGACACACAATTTTCATTTTACAATTTTTTATTTTAAGTTAAATGTGTCGTTTACAATTAATAAGTAATATTACAGATTTTTTCAAAAAACACTGTCAAATACATGTATAATAACATGAAGGACGTCATTGTATTGATTATATATAACGAGCGCATTCCCATAGTAGAACATTCTAAAAACCTGGGTGTTATCTTGAAATTTGACTGACACAGCAGTTACGTATCTCAAAAAACTTATGTCAAATTGAAACTTTTAGAGTCCAATAGGTACATTTTAAGCTTTGAGAATTGAGACTAGGAAAATATTAGTTGTTTTCGTCGGATCGGTATAGGTTATAGAAAATTCAAAACAACAGCTGTATGTTTGTATTTGCACTTAGTAAATATACTCGCAGTCAAGTCTCTTCGAAGATTCCAGATTTAAATTGGTTGAAGATGAAGTTACAGTTTGTTAATGCGACGGTATTTGTCCATAAAGTAGCTCACACTAAAAAGTCATCTCATATTTTAGAAAAGCTGGTACTAAGTGGTAACATGAATGAGAAACATCTCAGACATAACCTAAATTTTGCGATGCCAGCCACTGCTCAGCCTTTTTCCAAAAAGCTTTACCTTTACAATCTACTGATCAAATTTATCTCATTAAAACTATGGTACTTTTCAGGAGACTTGCAAAGAAACGGCTGATATGATAGTTCAAAGGTACTGTGATGTGAACTGTTTAAACTGTGCATCATTTTTTTTCTGTTTCATATTACTTTGCTTTGTTAGCTCGTATATGAGCATTGTAAACACTTTGTCTACGTACTTTTCTGTTTCTCAATATTTTTTGTCTGTGTATCGAGTTTATCTTTGTTACTTTTTCTCACACAGTGAGGTTAAACGTTAAGAGTAGCGCTTTGGCTAAACTTCGCCTCACTAATGTACACAATAATAATAATTAATACATTAATAAAGACATTTATTGTTATAATAATTATTATTAAAAGCAAAAGTATTATCTATCTGGCAACACCGCATGCACCTTTCGCCAAATAACAACACGTTATTTAACACCATCAGCTGTTTAGTGTTTTAGGTATGATCAGTCTATCTCTCTCTAATTTATTCGCTTTGTATTTTTTTAGTGTAACTAATCTTTGGTAGTAGTCTAAGACATACAGTTACTAGGTGAGTTTTAATTTCGTTCTACCGGATTCTATAAATAACCTTACCATTAGGATGCATCGGTTCCAGGCATTCAGGACACGAAATGGCCACCCTGCTCTCCGTGATCTCCACCCTCAGGTACTGCTGAAGACAGGTGTGGCAAGCTCTGTGTGCGCAAGCTTCTAGCTCGCGCATTTCTTCTGACAGTACCTCGGCGAGGCATAATGGACATTCGGACGTCCCAAGAGGTCCGCCCAAAGGCATGACATCGTTTCCGGTCACGCCGCTCTGTAAGAAAGATAGCTTATTAGTCATCGGTGTTCTATTGTACATTGTAACCGACTCAAAGGGTAAGCCGGAAGTGCTTGCCAAGATCTTATCTGCCAACTACACGATGGACGTCCTCCAACGCCTGAGTACCGTCGATTCCTAGAGTTCTCTACGCAATCCGGGAATTAACCATCAGGTATAAACATAAACAAAGCTTCTGGTTCGAACTTGATTCCTGTTGTTGAAGTGAGTGTTCAGTTCTTTAGCGTCCCTTCCAGATATCTTACAAACAAACCCAGAACTTTCCCAGAAAACTTGAAATTTGCTCATGCCCAGCCCATCCAAGAGAAAAAGTATCTTAGACCGACCCTTACAACTACAGATCAACGAGGTCTATAAATGAAGTGATGAGACTGGCAACGAATCTTTTGATCTGGAAACAACTGAGGTGTCGGGCTAGGAAGGGAGACAGGGGAACATGTGATCCGGTTTCAGTACACTTTTGAATTCGCTTGAGTGATTTGGTTGTCCTGAGCGATTTTTGTTTTGTGAAACAGTTTTTCCTATTGTGTTCTAAATATGAATGACATCAATTTCGATCAACGGTGTGCTCTCAGGTTTGGCTTAAGACATGGGCACAGTGCAATGGAAACTTTTGCTGAGCCAAGGTTTTTCGGTGGTTTAAGAAATTTTTAGAAGGGAAAGAATCGATTGAGCCACCAAGCGGAAGGCTTAAGACACTGGAAAGGATAGTTGATAGATACTTAAGGGATGGCCCGCTGGAAAGGTGTGTCATTCATGCAAATCGACTGATCTGGCCTTACAGAATCTGGTCGGTAGGCTGGAGAAGACTCTAGATCAGCGAGAAGTGGCACTCGTGGCCTTTTTGGACATCGAAGGTGCATTTACTTGCACCACAATCGACTCTATCAGACATGCCTTGGTTAGACACGGGGTTGGATCAATCCTAATAGATTGGGTCCTATCTACTCTGGAGGGTCGAGTAGCAACAGCTATGCTGAATGACGTAAGCTGCAGCGTGAGCGTAGCTAGAGGCTGCCCTCAGGGCGGAGTTCTGTCACCCTTACGGTGGTGTATCGTGGTGAACGAACTCCTCGTGAAGCTCAGCAGTATGGGTGTCTACGTGCAAGCCTATGCTGATGACGTAAGCATAATAGTTAGGGGGCGTTTTTGTGGAACACTCTCGGAGATTAAGCAGGGCGCTCTCCGTTCTGTGGAATCGTGGTGTAGGGAAGTCGATCTTTCTGTTAATGCTGAAAAGACCGGTCATGCCGACCTTCTTTGGGACTAGATTAATATTGTCCCAGTCAATACAAGGTTAGCAAGGCTTAAACCCAAAGTGGTATACTGGCTCTACACGACGATAGTACGTCCATCTCTCTTGTACGGCTCCCTGTCTGGTGGCCTTGCATTAGAACTGAGACAACTAAGACCAAACTCAATAAAATTCAGCGTTTGGCATATATTAGTATTACAAGCGCAGTGCGAAAAACGCCATTGAGTGCAATGGAAGCTCTGTTGGATCTCCCACCGTTGGATCTGGTGATCCGCGGTGAAGCGAGAGTAGTCGCTCATCGACTGTGGCGTCAGGGCAGCTGGGCTTTCTTGAATCCTGTCAAGGGCATACTGCCATCTTAGTCGAATTGCAAAGGGAGGACCCCGTCCTAAGCAGGGGTGATCGTATTACCCCTAAATATCGCTTCAACCGCAAGTTTATTGTGGAGTATCCAACGAGGGAGGAGTGGGACGGCGGTAGCCGGGGACACTCCGGAGTGAGCGGGCAGGTCTGGTAGACGGACGGCTTGGTCACCGAAGAGGGCTCAGGTGCTGGGGTCTCTGGGCCTAGAACTAGGCTATCTCTGCCTCTCGGTGGATACACCACTATTTTCCAGGCAGAAGTCTTTGCGATTCTGGCTTGTGTATCTCACATTCTGGAGGAGGGTGGGCCTAGGAGAAGAATAACAATCTTATCCGACAGCCAGGCTGCAATGAAAGCACTAAGTGCATGTAAGATTACTTCGAGTCTTGTATTGCAATGCAGGGAGGCTCTGGATTGCCTCGCAGCGAGGCATCCGGTATCGTTAATATGGGTACCGGGGCACGCTGGGATAAGGGGCAATGAGACGGCGGACACTCTGGCAAAGACAGGATCAGCCCGCAAGCTCGTTGGTCCTGAGCCAGCTCTAGGAGTGACCGCGCATAAAGCTAGGAGGAAAATGGAGACGTGGGTTGCAAGATAACACTCTCAGAAATGGAGAAGTATCTCCAGACATCTCCGCCAGGCACGGGAACTCATTGAAGCGCCCAGTGCTAAGGATGGACGCTTCTGCCTATCTCTGGATAGAGCCAACCTAAGGTTGCTGGTGGGACTGTTGTCTGGCCATAACACGTTAAGGCGTCACCTGCACGTGATGAGGGTAGAGGAAGAGACCTCGGCGCACGTTTTGTGTCGCTGTGAAGCTCTGAGCTACTATAGGCAGACTATACTGGGGTCCATTACTTTGGACCCTCAGGACGTCAAGGAGCTTGGGCCCAAGGCGATTCTCAACTTCGCTAAAAGGGCCAGGCTTGTGATCTAAGGATTGTAGAGGTGCATAAGGGCCCGCTTAAGCGGCCTATGCATTGGCTCCTTATGGTGGCAGGAATGCCTCTAATTTCAAGATTCATTCATTCAAGCGGAAGGCCCTCATTTTCAAGAACCGATGAAAATATCGACATAATCCGGGATATTGTGCGGTCAGATCGTCAGTTGACAGTCAGAATGATCGGGGAAGAGTTAAATTTGACTTCCACCACCGTTCGTCAGATCAAGAACAACTGGGTGTTGCATAACGATAATGCTTCTTGTCACATATCAATCACAAAAGGCCGCGGCTCGCACTGTAATAAACATTAATTCGTGAACTTAGAACAACCAAAATTGGATCATTTTGACAAAATCTTTAAAAAAATCGAATATCTTTAGACCATATCAAAATCTGTGAAGTGATTTTAACAATGCCTAAACGCTGTATCCTAAAAGATTCTCTTCTTCCCCTTTGCTCTCGTTCTTCCTTCTCTCATTCCCTTCCCTTTTTTCCTTAAAATTGTCTGGTTTCTGGGTTACCAGACCTGACAGACTTACAAGCTGTGATTCAAGAGATAAGGTCCCACGGACCGCTCTGACAACCAACGATGACTTGTGTGTCACATATCAATGTCAACAAACGAGTTTTTGGCCAGTCAAATCATTCATGCGGCTCCTCAGCCTCCTTATTAGCCTGACTTGAGACCTTGCGACTTTTTTCTCTTCTTAAAGTTGAAAAACCATCTCAAGGGAACTCATTTTGGGACAGTCGATAACAAACGGCTGTAACCGATCAGCTTAAGGCTCTGAGGAGTAGAAGAACCATCTCCAGCGCTGTGAGGCTTCCGAAATAAGTTATTGTGAGGGTGACAATATAAAATTGTTATTACATTTGAATTAAAAAATTAAATAAACCAGCCTCATCACTTTTACAGAACTCGTATAGCTCTGTTTTCTGATATAAATAAGGTGAATGAGAGTTGTATAATCGGGAGCTTCTGGGGTATCTTGTACATAACGGCTGTGTTCATGGGGATTACGTAGAGACACAAAAAAATTAAATGTAGATTCACTTCAAGTGGGTTAGGGAAGAGGCATATAGATCAACCCTTCCTATATTACGTAAGGCTGTATAACAGATCGCAAAAAAGCATCTGAATACATCAGCAAATACTTAGCAGAAAATGAAGTCACTACTATAATAACAAACATCTAATTACAGAGAAACACTATATTTTCCGACTTACAGATATGAGACCTGAGACGAATACGGATTTTTGGTTCATCACTTCTATTTATTTGTATGGCTTACCTTTGTACTTGTAGTAAAGACTGATGTCCTACTAGTTGCCTGATGAATTTCAACGTGATGCCTCTCAGAATCCTTGGAAGAATGTCCTACTATTACATCCAATACATTTCCTGCAAATATAAACGATGCATCAAGCCATGATCAACTTTACTAACTAGGTTAAGTCCAAATAAGTAGTTTTGAGATAAATGTATTTGAAATATTTTTCTTGCATTGTATTGTATGTGACCTGACATTCGTTAAAAATTCGTAACTTCCTTATTATTACAGATAGATGGACGCTGCAGGTAGCAAATGAAAATTCACAATATTATCATAAGCTTAACACATTAAACTCTTGTTGACAAATAACCTAGTCTGGCTCTGGGATACAGATGCAAGATTGCTAGTAATTTCCGTAATAGCAATAAAACAGACTTCCATTTGCTTTTGCATAAAATTGCTTATTCTTAAATCGGACATAAATTTGATCATAGATTGTCTTAAAAGCTAACAGCTGATTATAAAACAGTGCCACATTATGTCCTCGGAAATCTGGACTCCGACCAGCCGAAATGAACGGCTCCTTAGTAGAACTCGGTCATTCATCAACGCCGATAATGAAAAGTTTCACCTCAACAGCTAACTTGAAACATGCAAACGACAATTTCAATTCATTTCAATTTTATTGTAATTTGTCAGACAGCCCAAAATTACTCCTATTGTTATCAATTTCAAATACGATGTATAATCATATCAGACTAACATAATACGAAATATTTGTTCACGCTCATAAAATTATAATCCCCAATGCAATTAAGATTACAAGACTTAATAAATGCTATTAAAGTTAAGCTTGTTATAATTTAAATTTTGTGTTTTTGGGTATTCCGATACCACCTACGGAGTTTCTCTTTTAGTAGTATTATATGTTAAGCTAATATTGTACGATAAATAACGCTAAAACAGCTTCCCTAGTAAGTTTATGTAGTTAATAGTAAACTAGTTGTCCTAGTATAAATGAAAAATGGCATTTTTTGTTGGGAGATTGGTGTTCTGGGCTTCAGAACGGTCAACAAGTCAATATTTTTCAAATGAAGCTCATATAAATAAAATCATTCTGCATTCAAGAAATAATAGGGAACGAGCTGTCAAAGTTCAAAAGAAGAAGGCAAAATGACGTTTCGTTGATTTTGAGCAAACAAAAACTACATATACATATGTCAAAAAAATACCTTACAAAACGTTTGGCTAGCAACTGCAGCATTTACGAAGTGTAAAATACTCGTAATATAAAAATTAAAAATATAGGTTATAAACGAGATGACCCACAAATTTATTTCAAACAGACGTATTCATGCAGTTAAGAAGTGTGCATTTGGAATGTTAAATTGATACAAATAAAGATAGCTTTAAATTTCGCATTTTATGAAATGCACGTCTCTCAGATGCGCATTAAAGTATACACCATTAAAGCGCACTTTTGCATATTTCTCAACAATTCTCAAGTTTGGAATAATTATGGAATATAATGGAATCAAGATAAGATTACACAAATTTTGCAATAAGCGGAGCACTCGGATGCACTCAAAATTGTGCTGAAATAATTGTTGGTCGGTTAGTAGAATAATTTTGGAATGTCTCAAGAAAATTATCAACGTTCGAGTAAGATTTCGGGATAACTTAATTTGAAAATATCGAAATGGTAAAATTGCACGCATAATGTATTTCACAAATTTCATTCCTACAAACATTGTCAACGAAAAATCTTTCATAAGTATAGGACGACATACCGCGCCATGATTAGAAGAATTAGAACAATCAAAAATAATTTCACTATTTTGTAACTTCTGCTTAACTCCATCGCTAAGAAAATATCTATTCATTTAATATTACTCTTTAGGAATACATTTAGGTGGAAATGTTTTAAATAAAAGTTGTAGGATTTTCCTCTCAACTATCGGTCGGTGACCTTGGATTGGACCTTGAAGGTTATAAACGAGCGGAAGATTTTATGTTCAGACTTGACCCTGGATGGCCCTCAATCCCTAAAGGTCAAACTGCCACTAACGCTGGATATCGATAACTCTTCGGGAATGCATTTTGAAGGGCAATGCTTCAAATAAAAGTTGTAAGATTTTTTCTCATCTATCAGACGGTGGATTCGAACCAGACATTGACCTTGAAGATCCTGAGAAACACAACTTCAAAATTTTAAATGTAAACCCATATTTTTGATCCCGGCAACAAAACGAGGGAAAAAATTTATGTTCAGATATTTTTTTTATATCGAAGCTGCCGCGCAGGCATAAGCCTAAATGCTGGAACACCGCGGCTGCTATGATGATCAGAAAGAAATTTTGTTAATACGATTTTTGAACTGCTTAAGGTTAGTAGAACTGGGAGAAGCTTCCTCTTGTAGATTGTTCCATAATCTCGACACCCTCGTGACAAAGGAGCGGTCGTATCGGCCAGTTCTGGATGTACGAAGTTCGACACGGTTAGGATGGGACGCCAAAGTCAGGCGGGTCTGTCTGGCAGGTACATCGCGCGGCGGCATCATGGAAGAGAGGTTGGTGTAGCGATAGAAAAGAGCGAGATCGCCGACGGCCCGCCGGTGTGAAAGAGTCCCGAGACTGTCTGTTAGAGAAGAGTCATCGATCAGTCGGACCGCCCTCCTCTGGACAGCATCGAGCAATACTCGAGGCTAGGCCTCAGCCTTGTATGGAGAGAGAAGGTCTTGCGGAGAAAAGTAGTTCTTAACTCTAAACAGTAGGCTGATTTTTCCCCAGCAGCTGCAGCTATAGACGAGATGTGTTCGTGCCAGATCAGGTCCTCGGTGATCTGGACTAAGACCAGCCGAAATGAAAGGCTCTTTGGCAGAGCTCGACCATCCATCGAAACCGGATGAGCGCTAGGACGCTTTTTGTTCGTCAAAGTACAGTACTGTGTTTTGGAGGCATTGAACTGTACAAGATTGTTGCGTCCTCAAGCAGTGATAGCCTCCAGGTCTCTTGTCAGAGAGGAAGTCGTAGCTAGTCTTCTTTTTTTCCAGCTTAGCGGCAGAGATAGGCTTGTCACTCTGAATTCCTGCATGTAGAGTTCTGTCATCACCGAAGCTGTGGATTGGGTTGATCGTGCAGAAAAGGAGGTCGTTGATATGTAAGAGAAACAGTGTCGGAGCGAAGACCGATCACTGGGAAACACCCGCGATGACGTTGTGGGATGAATAGGAGAACCTGTCAATTACGACGGATATCTTGCGGCCACAGATAAAGTCAGCCACCCATCTGCAAAGCTTTTCTGGGAGGCCATAGGATGGAAGTTTGCTAAGAGGGCAGCGTGCCACAGCTGATCGAACGCTTTCGTGATGTCAAGAGCAACGATATGAGCCTCACCATAAGACTGGATGAGTTTACTCCACAATTGCGTGACGTAAGCTAGGAGGTCGCCTGTGGATCGTTGGTGCCGGAAACCATACTGCCTGTCGCTAATCAAGCTGTGACATTCGAGGCAGTCCAGAAGCTCACGATTTATGCACCTCTCCATCACCTTAGTTACAACAGAAAGCAGAGCTATAGGCCTGTAGTTGTAAGGGTCGGTCTTAGATTCTTTTTTTGGGATGGGTTGGACATGAGCAAATTTCCAGTTTTCTGTGAAGGTGCCGGATTCATAAGATATCTGGAAGTGACGCGAAAGAACTGGAGCAAGCTCCGCTCCACACCTCTTCAGTACAATGGCAGGAATCAAGTCCGGACCAGAAGCTTTGTTGATATCGAGCGACAAGAGCACTCGTCTTAAGGTCTTATGCCTGAATGTTACCTCCCGCATAGTGTAGGGAACCGTTCGAATTGATGGCACTTGGTCGTTGGGGGGGACGTTCATGGTGGAGTTGCCAGTAAAGATCTTGGCTACCACTTCCGCCTTGGCCTTTGAGTCGAATACAATAGTTCCATCCTGACACGTAAGTGGTGGAAGGCTACTGTGTGAGAAGTTCTTTTCAATCTGCTTGGCCTGCGTCCAAAAAGACTGCCATTGAGCTGCGACATTAGCCTGTGCCTAACTTTTATATCGTGCCGGTTTTTGGCATCGCTAACCGCTTCGTTATATTTGTTCCTGGACCAGACGTCGGGTTGTCTGTTCTCTACAGTGGGGTTTTTGTAAGAAGGTTCTGTGTGCCTTGATCTTCTGCTGGCGAGCAGTGTCACACGATTTGTTGAACCAGCCGTTGGACCCTGGTTTAGGAAGTTTCACTGTGTGAGGGATGTATTCCTCATTCAGACGTGGATAATTTCGGTTATCGAAGAACAGCCAGCCGACGCATCCGCGTCAGTGAAACAGACATCTCTCCAAGGAAAGCTAGAGAAGAAGTCTCTGAGCCCCTTCCAGTCGGCATGTCCGTAATGCTAAGTTTTGCGGCCTGTACGAGTTTCTGCTGCCACAGCGGGTTTTGACCGAAACCTAAACTCCATAACACCGTGGTCTGAGTTACCCAGGGGGGACAGGGCAGCAGTGCTGTAAGAGACAGGATGCGTAGTCAGAAAGAAGGGGGAAACAAGTAGGGCTCGTCACCAGCAGGGTCAGCCCTTGAGTAAGAGCGAACGCTTCGACTGCACGACCTGCTGCATCGGTCTTGTTTGAGCCCAACCAAAGCTCATTATGGGCATTGAAGTCACCGAGAAGAACTACCTCTGAAGGGGGGTGATTGATGTTCAGGAAGCCGATCTGGACGGCGAGGTATTCCAGCGAAGTGAGATATGACCTTGCATGATCCTCATTCATATTGGAGTATCTGTCTGTCTCTGGAGTGTCTGCCCGAAAATGAGCGCCGCGAATCACTTATGCTTACAACTATACAATATATGATTTTATGCAAAAATTTATAAAACCTATGTCCTCCATCGGCTGAATTTTTAGCTACTGCGTGATAAATTTTCACTTTAGATGTTAGGATGTTATAAGAGGATATAAAATGAAATATTCTAGTGTAAACATGTCTTATAACATTTTTCAAGGGAATATTTTTTGTAGTTACCTTGATCATTTCTACATCAAAAACCATCTCACACTATTTTTTCTCCTCAGATGTACCGTTTGCAAAATGGTAACAGCAAATATTCACATTGAAAAATATCAGGGGTGTATCCATTTTTTGTATAACAAACTGTTTACACTAAAATATGTAATTGTATTTCATTTACAATTTGTTAAAACTAAAAACTATATTTTCTTTCAAAGATACAAATAAAAACAATGTTTTTCTTAAAAGTTCAACAATGTAAACATTTAAGCCATTGTGCACATACATAAGGCTCATATTAAGTTTTTTTTTTTATAAAATTATCTGAGGAATATCCTGAAATATTAGCACGTCAAAGAACATGAAATATCTTGTATAAGCGTCAACGACCCTCTCTAGGTGTCAGCGTTGCCACCTCTTGGACTGTTGCTGCCGGAATGGACCATATCTTTTCCGTCGTTCATAAATTCCGAGATTACGAAATCTAAGGAATACATAGTAGGAAGTTTCTTTGGGATATACATTTTTTAATAGGATAGTGGAGACTGATTTAATTACTTCTAAGGAAATTACTGCGACCCTACTCAGCAACATGGCTGTGGGCATGTTTTTACTCAACTGCCTCAAAAGAGAGGTCTTTTTTGGAAGGCCAAATGACACAAAAATCAGTTTCTTGCAAATATTTATATCATAACGCAAGGTCAACCGTTGTCTCCGATGAATAATACGCCGTATTAAGTCTATAAATCACTAAAAAATATAAAGTTACGCATTTTTTCATTGATTCATTGATACTTTTGACAGTATTCAATAATCAAACATATATATTTATATAAAATATATGTTCACATAAAAATTCGTAGAGCTCAAATGAAGAATTGTGCCACCAACAAACTCTCTCTCTATATATATATATAGCAGTACTTACCTAGGGTATAGCTTTGCAAAAAAAAATGAGGACTACATGGTGATTCTGTGCCTATAAGCGTTGACTGTCCAAAACTGAAAAAAGTTTGCAGAACTCAAACGAAGAATTGTGCCAACAAAAAAGTCATATGATGTTGTAGAGGCCCTATAGTACCTCTCCCGAAATCCTCCGTTTTTTTGCAAATATTCACCCTAGATATGTACTTCTATAAGGCCTCTACGATACATATGAGTTTTTCGGTGACAATCCTTGGTTTGAATCTGAAATATTTTTTTTTATTTTGGGTAATCAACCCTTATAGGCACAGAACCATACTGTAGTCCCCTGATTTTTTTCAAAGCTATACCCTAGACACGTACTACTGTGGGGCCTCTACTATATATGAGTTTGTTGGTGGCACAATTCTCCGTTTGGCTCGTGCGAATTTTTTTCAGGTTTGAGTAGTCAACCCTTATATCCGTAGAATCACCCTGTGGTCCCCTGATTCTTCGCAAAGTTGTAATACTAATTATGCGCAACTTTATATTTCTTAATTATTTATAGACCTAAAACGGCGTTTTATTTATCTGTAATATTGGTTGACGTTGCATTATGATGTAAACATCTAACGCTGCGCGCTCTCTGCCCTGTATGTCAACAACAACGAACAAATGTTTGAAACAAAAGTTGTAGATAATTTCATTCTCTGATAAATGCAAATAGCATTAACCCCAGAGGAAGTGATATCTTTGCAAAAAAACCGATGTTTGTGTCCTTTGACAAATTAAGACACGGACACGAGATTTTATGAGACTTTTAAGACGAAGTTTTTATAATGAAAAAATGTAGGTTTCTACAAATTTACAACCTATTATCTCTCATGCCGAGGTTGACCCTCTTTTATGGCTTATACAACACTGGTGAAAAAAATAAAATATTTTTTTGTGACATGGATTTTGGATTTGAAATTTAGCTCTCCGCACACATAACAAAAACTGTTCGCAATATTTACACAATTTCTAGGCATTGTCCATAAAGCTGGTCTCGATCACAATAAACTAAAAACAACACACCGTTTTAACAAAAATTAACAGTGCTCAGAACATCTCAGTACTCTTCACAGAAAACGTAATTGACTCGGCTGCTATTAGTCTACTAATAAACACAATATGCTCTCTAAACATAGAGCTCGCATATAATAAACAGGAATAGACCGGTCTTAACATTATATATGTGCGCCATCGCATACACGCCGAGAAATGCAGCAATATGAGATGTTACGTATTGTAATTCATAAAAGTAAATGTTACCGAATACCTGTGGGTGATAGAAAAATTCTGTTTTTAGATTTGGTTTAAGGATGTCAAAATACATAAGATACACCCAAAATTTGTCATGTCACGAATCCTGCGTTTATCAGTGTAATTGGACTATTTCACGGGCTACAGCTTAAACGGCTATATCGGCCATATCTTCATTCCTTTCAGTTACGGCAATAGGGTTGTATGTATTTTTTAAAAAGGTACTTGTTGGTAAACCATTGATTAATGTTTAAATGAGCTCATCTTACCTTCCTTCCTGTGTTTAGAAGCTCCGCCAGTACTAGCTAGCTGCACATTCTGGCTGTTCCTGCGTCTGTTCAGGATCGGGCTGGAATAGATAAGGTGTCTGAGCGACCACCTGCCCGGAAATCGTTTCTTCCGGGAGGAAGGTTGCGATTCAGAGCCGTGCATGATTGTTCAATTGGAAGCCGCTACGGCCGACGCGTCTCGATCAGTCTGTGTGTACGCTCACCATTTTGTGCTTGGTGCTCTTAGTTGGAAGCAGCATCTGGAACAAAAATGTACGTACGTTAGCTGCTATCAAAGGAAAGGATTTATGTGTTCCAAAACTAAATATCGACTGTAATTAGTCTCTAAATACAGTGTTAATAATAGATCGTAATTACACAACAAGTTGTGAATCTCTATCTAATAGCAGTCATGATACATTAGTGTTTATTAGACGTAGAGATTAAACTCAATCAATGGTTAATTTACAATGCGACAATATTAGAATTTAAATTACTACAAGCACAACAGACCCATTTATAGGCGGAATGCTGGCGTTTCAAATGGCACAATTGTAATGGCTGGTACTAGTACTTAGAAAAGAAGAGTTGTAAATTAGAAGTAAACATAATAAGTGAATATTTTGAAGTTAACATTTTTGGTTAGCTCCCAGCGGGTGCAATGTAACGTTTGAGCACATTAAACATTTTTTTGATTATCCCTCAAAGTGAGCAGAGAGATTAAAAACGTCGAAAAACGAAGTATGTATATTATTTACCAAACCCGAAGACCGTGGTTAACGCCCACGTTGATGATGTGTATTGAAGAGGAGAACCGGTCAATTACGACGGATATCTTGTGGCCATTAGTAGCTCGCAAAAAATCGAAAACGAAGTATGTGAACGTCCTGAAATTTTTCGTTTTTCGTCCATAGCTCTGCTACCACTGGAATTATTTTCAGAATCTGCAAAGGTTTTTCGGCATTGGAATAGTGATAACCTTCTGTCAAAGTTTCATAAAGGTTACAGGTCATAGAGGGATCAAGAGTTAGCGGGCAGACTGACAGACAAGCCGATAAGATGGACAAACAGACCGACAAGACGGAAAGACCGATGGAATCATCTAAAACAATAACATCACGATTTCCTGTTTCTCTCTGAGTTTCTAGCACTTTATAAATGATCAAAAAATGTCTTGCAAGAGTTCTAAAAAATTACGAAGCAGAATTTTCACCATTTTATGATATTTGAATCATGAACATGTATGTATCAGGAGTTTTCAAAAGCTCGCAAAACTATATTACGATGCACCTTCACGAAATGTCTTACAAGAAATTCAGTATTATGGTTATATAGGTGTATGAATCCGTTAGAGGTACGGAATCAATCGGTAGTTGATTATTTAAATCTCTAGTTATTGACAGGATAAGAAGCTTCTTAATAATAGAACGTCTTTCAATGATATCAAAGGTTCAACATTTGCAGCCCCCTACCGCTTACAACTCCCAATTTACAATCTCTACAAATTTTTTTCTGGAAATGATCAGTAGACAGTCAAAACACAAGTGCAACATTTTTTCGCTTTTTGCTCGTGGGTCCTCCGCCACTGGGTAGATATTCAAAAACTATAAAGTTTTTTCGTCCTTGGGACGGTAGTAACCTTGCGTGAAATGCATTGCATGGTCTTTCATTTATATGTATACATGTACGCCATGTATTAAAAAATATAACGTAGTATGTCATTTTTGTTTTTTTTTTGCGAATAAACTACTTTCTCGCCAGTGGCAATAGAGGTAAATACGCTTGATGATCGTTTTCGAAGACTGTTCATTAAGTCAAAAGGACTGAATTCGATGAGAGAGGAGATAATATGAAATGCAGACACTGGACGCATTTTTTCAATGCAAACTTTCAAAAATTTATAAAAAATGGCGCCAAGTAAGTCGACTCTGTACTTCCATGCTACGCAGTCATCAGTACGTAAAGGATTATGTTTGGACACTCTCAGAAAAAAGTTAGCTACGAACATGTGTAACAAAAAATTGAATGACCTTCCTCCTTCCCCTAAAAGGAATTGCTGCAGGCGCACATGATCTTTGCGATGTATGATGACCTTGGTCTTCACCATGCACAGTGCACATAGCCCACAGCGGTGCGGAATCGATTGCCGACTATAACGTACGACCACCGACAACGACGCTTGTCCATCGGGGGACCATGTCACAAGTATCGACACCCGACTGTAGAAGAGATTTATAATGTTTAAGGGTAATTGTACGGGGACATCTATGATGAGCGAAATATGCCTTATAAGTGCGTATAATTACTGGGGTTGGAGGCGTAGAAATATACCAACATCAAAAAATTACTTATGCTGTCCCCCAGTCCCTGCAACCCTTAAACTCCAATTTTTAACCCCTACCTTGGTCTTTTACTCCGCGCCACTGGACCTATTTACAAAAATACAAAGCTTTTGGTTCTTTGGCATAGTAGTAACATTTTATGAAAATTTCATCGAAATACGAGCGGTACTTCTCAAGTTACAGACGGTTATAAGATTATCGGACAGGCAGTTAGGTGGAAATGAGTGACATGGTTTTTCGTGATGTATGTACATGTCATATAAGCCAAAAAACATAATATCTCATTTTCGAAAATTTCCGCTATTACAATACAGTAAGTAAAAACACAATAGCGTTCAAGATACTAGATGGTTAAGTTAGGTCGCACGGGTGTCTTGAGTGATCATATGACACATGGACATTACATCGCCAGCTCTTACCCTATCAATCACATTCCGCCCCCACCATATGGCCTAAGTGGTTTTGCAGACACGAAATCTCGTCTACGTGGTTAATATTAGACTATGTTTTCCGATAAAAACAACTACTCCATCGAGGTCGGCGATATAATATGCCATATTTGCCCGCATTACTTGATCCGGGAAAGTGATTACGTTATGAATAAGTTGTTTGCTAGGTATTTAGCGGAGCTGAAAGCGAATTTTGTTGGTAATTAAACTATTATTGTGCAGGGTGCGTGACGTCAAACTTGGTAATTCAGCGAAGGGACTGTTAACTACCAGTCTCCAATCAATAGCGTAGTTTGTGGTTCGAGGGAAGGCGATTTGTTTCTATACCCTATTCGTATTAGATTTACGCCTCGGCACAACAAAGATGCAGCGCGGAAAAGCGTCAGCCACCTAAGCGCTGCAATAGCTATTCGTCATTCCGCCATAAAACTACGAACAAGTGCAGGATTAGACAGGATAGAACTCAGGCTCGGGGTATCGCCAGCAGTTGCTGTTCGTATTCGGTGCATACCTAGAGTGTGTTTATACATTAGCACGTCGTCTACGGATACCGCAGATGAAACTGAGAATATTTCTCCCAATGCTTCCTTCAGTCATGCTTCCTCTTCAGTGATGTCTCCTCCCCGAAAACGTGACAAGAAGGGACATTTGAATATTCAGGCAAAAGAAACTGTCCTTAACGAAATTTTAGAGCACCCCGAAATGAAAATTCATTTTTTTTTTATACTCCAACTACCACGAAGGCCTAAGGCCTAAGCACCCATTGGGTACCGTGGGGCTATGGGGGATACATGGGAGAGGGGGGACGCCACACGGACTCTGGCGAGGGAACACGTGTGCATGCAACATGCACACATTCTGGCTCCGCCTACGAGAACCGCCGGGTGGTACCTCCGCGTTCGACAGTCAGAGACCATCTACCACCTACGGACAATCACAACATCCATGGCCAAGAGGAACATTTCTCCTGGGACGGGACTCGAACCCGCACAGCGCACGGCGGCTGATCAGGAGACCGAAGGGTCTACTACTGCGGCCACCGCTGCTGCCTAAAACAAACACACAACATCCATGGCGAAGGCGAGATTCGAACTCGCGGCCCGGCCGGCCGGCTGATCAGTAGCACGACACTCTGACCCACGCGGCCAACCGAGGTCCAAGAGATGATATTGAAAGACATGTGGCGAAAAAATAACAGGCTTATGTCCTAAGACAATTTTCAACATTGTTAAAGGATATAAAAAAACTTGTATCCACCACACAAGAGGCTGCATTTACACGAAGATAACTTTGATCGGAATGCAAACAGACGCATCAGTCCATCAATTTTTTGAAAGGCAGGAACTTCCCACCATAGACAAAGTATTACAGGAGGTTAATAGTGATGAAGACTTACCTTCTTTCAAAAGGATGACATTCTATAGTTTAATCAAAGAACTTCATTTTGAGTTTAGAAAACGGGTCAGAAATAGTATTTTGATGGACAGCCAAGAGATTATTTTATGGATGAAACCTGGATAAATGCAGGACATGCAAAGCCTAAAGTATTGGCTGACTCTACAATTAAATAATTAATAAAACTAGAAAAAATTCCTACAATGTCCACAAGAAAGGCAGACATTCAACAATGGCTCCTATCAAAAGACATTAGTTTCAATGAAAATATGGTCAAAGCAGAACTTATCGATCTAGTCAGGCAGCACAAATATAAATATAATAAGCATAATGTTATTGACGAAATGGCTAAAAACCAAAATAAGAACGTTTTAAGGCCAACTCCTTATCACTGCGAATTAAATGCCATTGAAATGATTTGGCCACATATAAAAAACTATGTGGCTTCAAACAATAGATCATTCAAATTTTCTGACGTGAAAATTTTTTTTTATGAAGCTGCCAACCGAGTGACGGCAAACCATTGGAAATATTGCATCCGTCACGTTCAAGAGACAATCGAAACAAAGATGTGGGATCTGGACAATATGATCGATATCCAAATTGAACCTGTAATAATTAATATTAACCATTCTGAAAAGTACAGTTCTTTCTATAAAAATAACCATTTATTTTGTTAGATTATGAGGAAAATACGGACCCGTACAATCTCACTTTTGGGCATGTTCTGATTTGTCTGGGCGTAAATCGACTACGAATGGGGTATATATACCGCAGGTTCTCAATCATATTTCGACTACTGCCCATTTTGAGAATCAATGATCTTCTAGCGCCCCAAAAATTATTTTAACTGAAATATATCTAGAGCTTTATATTAATCTTAGCCATTGCATATTCTTCCCCCATACCCAATCAGTTCATCGCCCCTCCAACTTTCTATAATCTCGTTTGTTAAAAAAATATTACTTTGCATTGTTTTTTCGATTTTTTTCACAGGAAGAAATTAGATGCCCAAATGATATTTGACTATTTGATGAGTCACAGATTATTCTGCATACACATAGCTTACAAAAC